CAAGTTTATATGAGAAGACACAATTCAAACATTTCAGAAAAAGTGACAGGCACTGAGTTTTCCTTGTTCCTAGAAGTAACACTGTCAAATTTGGGGCAAAATCTTCCAGGTTTTCCCACTATTAAAAATGTACATTATGTAATTGCACTAGTGGCGTTAAAATCTAGCATTTTCCTAACTTAAAAAAAAAACTCAAAACTGTTGGGCACCTCTTTTTACAGCCATGCATTAAAACTTATTCTGTTCCTTTTGATGGCTGCATAGAATTTTATTGCACAACGTTTCTTTGGGGGATAATCAGAATATTCTTCATCTTCTTTATGGTGGTGGTGATACAACTGTATGTAAGTGCCCAAATTCAATGAACAACTGTACATTTCAAATAGACACATTTTATTTTATGTAAAGTCTGGCTCAATAGATAATTTCTCTTCAAAATTTGTACTTTGGCTATGTAATGAATGAATGAATGAGTACAGCAAACCCTTTATTCATAGATCCTGACACATCTGTATTTAAAAGGCTAGGCTATCTGAAACTTATACTGACAGGTGCTGTCATTACAAAAACAGCCCTATATTTAGATATGGGGGTTAGAGAAAATAGCTCTTTTAAAATGTCAATAAAAGATAGAAAGTAAGCAGAGTGCTAAACTGAAAGTTAAAAATAATAAAATACATATTTGCCTATTGTAGAAATCGGCATTTTCTGTTCCCACTTAGGAACAGTAGCAGAAAATCAGGGTAGAAGCATCCATATCTCCTATTTGACCTTAAGTTCACAGCTATTTACACAGCTCATTGCAGTATTGCAGGGAGCTCAACACTCTTGTTATACTCATTGCTGCTGTAATATTATGGTACTGATTAGACCTGCTCCAGAGGAAGCAGTTTCTGATCTTAGAATCCAAGATGCACCCCCTGCGCCCCCTGTGGAAGTGGGGGATGGGAGGGAAGAAGCATTTCAGTACCCAACCGCATCAAAATACAGGCAATGTTGGTTGAAGTATGCTGGATTTCAGATCTTGATTCCCACTTCAGAATGTCCTTCCGCCAGCCACTGAGTCTGCATTCTCACAGCTCGCAGGTGTATCTGCCTAGCAGTCTGAAAACCCCAACCCAAATGCAGCTTGCCTGCCTCCAGGCTCCCATAAGCACCTTCAATCTGCTTTTACATCAATCAAAAGGTTTTATTTTAGTTAAGCCTGCGTGGGTAAAAGGTGATCTTCTGTGTAAAATTGGCTGCAAAGTCCTGAAATAGTGCATGAGACCCGCCCTGGGTTTAAAGGACACCGCTGAGTGATTTCTGTTGCTTTTCAGGACTCAGCAGTGAATCCTAAGGTGGGTGAGGAGTAAGCCACCCCCGTTCTTATGAGTTCAGAGATGCAAAGAAGAGAGGGGGAGAGAAGCAGTAGTTCACTGGGCAGAGCAGAAGAGTCTGAAGGGGGAGGGGCAGGGTAGCAGTATCTTGCACTGATGAGATCTGGGAGGCTTGCTGGGGGAGGGGCAGCTAGGCCTTGATCCTGGGCACTGCCCAACATCTGGAGCCCAAGACCTTTAGGGCCTCCTCTGAGGCTTCTTCTCTCCTTGAGCTATATGTAAATGCTCCCTAGCATGTAATTATTAAGGTAGGAAAAGTCTTTGGGTATGGGTGGAATGAGACAGTTTGCTGGAGCTGTCACTCCAAGTGAGTCCTCGAAGGTGCATAGACAACATGGAGATTGAAAGGGCTTGGGATCAGCTCACAGTAACTGTGACCCAGTACTTACTGGAGGCTTATATTAGTTTCCAGAGAAACAGAATCAGATAGAAGCAGGTGGGGGTCAATAAGAGGGGATTTATGATGGGGACTTGCTTACTTGATTATGGAGGTAGAGGTGTCCACTTTATGCCCTATCAGCTGATGAACCAGGAAAGTGAGGGATCTCCAACTTAACATCATCCCTGCCCCTGTAACTAATGAAAATAAACTCTGAGAATGGGACTGGATGCCAATGTCTTCTGTGTTTTTTTTTTTTAAATTATTTCAATCAAATACTTACTACAAATGAAAATAAGTCTAAGAAATTGTCAAAACTTTGTTGGTGCATGACATTTCCACTCACAGAAAAAGCACAAGCTAGAGCCTTAGGCAATAGTAAGAATAGCTATAGTTCTATTTTTAGAAAACATTTTTTAGAGGTGAGGAGGTGAAAAGAACAAGTTTTTCATGCTGGAGTGATTACACTTGGGAAACCTGCTCTGATCAAGCATAGACTGAAGATCTACATTCAAGTTTAAGGCGTCTATTTTCATTGGGTGAGTGGTTGTGGGAGGGGCCAGGAGGACTGTAAGATCAGCTTTCGGGAACCCTCTTAGAGTTCCATCCTGCTCACCAGATAAGAGGATGTCAAGTTTGGTCTCTATTGGGCTGTGTCGCGTCCTGCTGCTCCTGGCAGCAACTGCCTTTTGGGCACCCCTGTGTGCTGCCGCTGGTGAGTGAGCTCTATGCGGTTCCCGGCGGTGGGGGAGCTGCCCGGCTACTACAGGGAGGCAGGCGGGTTTCTGTGAGAGTCCCGGGAACCCTCTCGGTTAAGATGAGCAGTCTGGTTTGGTGGGGAGAGGTGCTGGACCTGACGTGGGTCATTGCCACCACACGCAGTTTCGCTTTCTTTTCTTTTCTTTTTTTTTTTATATACTTTTTAAAAAATATTTATTATTTAGTAATTGGCGCGTACAGCGTCTTTGTTTGTATGTGGTGCTGAGGGCAGAACCTGGGCCGCACGCATGCCAGGCGAGCGCGCCACCGCTTGAGCCACATCCCCAGCCCCACAGTTCCGTTTTCTAAGCACCTTGCCACCCCGACGTCCCGCATCCTAAGTCGTCCCGGTCCTCTGTCGCCTCTGGATTCCCGAGGTGCAGGCTGTTTCTCCTTTGAAAGACATTGAAGGACCCTTTGAGGTCCGCGGCTCACGGAACCTCTTCCCAACTGTATTAGGGACAGTTCGGGCTCCTGAAGCCCCTGCTCTCCTCGCAGTCATAGGCTGGTTTTCAGCTGAGCTCATTGGAGTCCCCAGTTAGGAGACCTTTTTCTTCTGGCCCTGAGCTGGTAGGGACGTCCCAGCCCCATAGAGCCCTTCCTGCCTCTGTGAGGACTGTGGCTGCATCAAACACAGACTGAGGGAAGTGACCAGCTAAGATTGCTGAGTCAAGATCTTCTTGCTGGGGCTTTTTTCATTTCCACCCACATTGTCCCCTGGACTCCTGGGCCCTGGGATTCTGTCCCCCCTTGTACTCCTCTCACCCTAATATGCTATCTATTTTCTAATATGCCTGTGTTTTCACCAGATTGCTATGCCTCCTTCCTGGTCACCCAACATGTCTCCTCAGCCTGTTGGCTTCCCCTCACCTCCCCCACTCCTGCTGTGTTTTCAGACCCATTTCTAAGGTAGACACTGCATCCTAGGTCTGTGCTTCCTGCACACTAGATACCCTGTCTCCCCAACCTCAGTCCTTTCCTCCTATTCTTAGGGGCCATTTCCTACAAGAGGTTTTATCCACTGCTGCCTCTGTACCTCACCCAAACTTTCTAGAGCCCCAACTTTTTTTTTTAATAATGTTTAGTTTGATTTCCTCTCCAAAAATTTTTCTGTTGACAAATAGTTGAATCTATTTCTGGGATGTAATGTTATGGATGCATTTTAGAATAATCATTTCGGGGTAATTAGTATATCCATCACCTCAAATATTTATGGTTTCCTTTTGGTCAGAACATTTAAAATCTTTTTTTCTCGTTATTTTAAAATATACAGCATTAAGTGGAGAAGCTTTGTTGTGTTATAGAACACCAGACTCTTCCTCTTATCCAAATGAAACTTTGTGGCCCTTTACCAGTGTCTCTCCTTTCTCTGTCCATTCATTTGTCTCTGTATGCCTGTTTGTTGTTGTTGTTGTTGTTGTTTAATTTCTCTTAGGGTCCTCTACTTTCCACCCACATTGTCACAAATGACAAATTTTCCTAGCTTTTTTTTTTTTTTTGAAGAAGTTTCTGGTGATAAAATCTGAGGCCTTAGTGACTGCTAGGCAAGTCCTCTCTCCCTAAGCTACATTTTCATCCTTAATTTCCTTTTGTTAAAAAGGCTAATTGATATTCTTTTGTGTGTATATCCCATAATGGTTTGGTTTGGTTTGGTTTGATTTGGTTTTTGCCGAGGGAGTTCTTTTTGAGGGTGGGCTGCTGTTTTTCCCTGGGTGGCCTCCAACTCCAGGCCCAAGCAATCCTCTTGTGTCAGATTTCTGAGTAGCTGGGATTTTAGGTGTGCACCACGTGGTTTAAGATAGTCTAAATCCACTCATCTATTGGAGGCCACTTAGGTTGCTGCTTTATCTTAACTGTTGTGACTGCTACTACAGTGGACATGCAGTGCAGGGAATCCAGGGAATCTGGATTCCCATTACTTTGGTGTGAATGAGGTAGTGGAATTGCTGGATAAAGCAAAAAAAATTAGTTTTGGGAGGAACCTTCATGCTATTTTCCAAAATAACTCTACTAAATTACAACATCAGTGGTGCACACCCCTTTTTTCCACCTTCTTGCTATCACTCTTTGTGTCTTCACAATGACCAATCTAATAAGTGTGACACAATATTTCCTTTTGGTTTTAATTGGCATTTGTATTCACTCACAAATCTGTTGGCCATTTATGTATCATATTTTGACAAATGTCTCTTCGACTTCTTTGCCCTTGTTAAATATAAGGTTATTTGTATATTTTGTGTATTAAATCATTATCTGACCTTTGATTTTTTTCTCCCAGTCTCAGGGTTGTCTCTTCACTCTATAAATTGTCTTCTCTGCTAGGCAGGAATATTTTAGGTTGATGCTATTCCAGTGGTCTATTTTTGCTTTTAGTTATCTCACCAGGAGGCCAAAACTATGTTTTACATGTTCTTGATCTCTTGATTCCAGGAAGAAAAAAATCATCTGTGGTATCTTCTTCCACAGGGTCCCATAGTCTTCATTATAACCTGAAAATGAGATCCCAGAACCATTTAGTGCACAGACAGTTCTTTGCTGAGGGTCTTTTGGATGATCAGCCCTTCCTGCACTATGACAGTGAGAGAGACAGGGCAGAGCCTCAGGCACTATGGGCAAAGACAGTCCTGGGAGCCGAGACCTGGAACACAGAGACCCAAGACTTGGCAGGGAGTGGGAAAAACCTCAGAATGATTCTGGCAGATATCATCAGTCTGCAGAGGCAGAAAGAAGGTGAGTGTGGGTGGGGGGAAGGGTCTTTCTGCAGAAAGGCTGGGGGCAGAGAGCAGGGACTTCTCTTCTCACTGCATTTGTCTGGGAAGGGCAAGCATGGGGTCCATAGAGCTCAGCACATGGACATTGAAGAGAGAGAGAGCCATGCTGGGATCCTTTGTGGGCTGGAGTTTCTCTTGGTGGGCAGGGAGGCAGAGGCACCAGGGGATGCTAAAGTGACTGGTGGATGGGGGCAGGGTCTCATTCCCTCCAGGAGTCTTGGGGCTGTGAGATGCAAAAGAACAACTGCACCAGGGGCTTCTGGGATTTCTACTATGATGAGGAGCCCTTCCTCTCCTTTCATCCTGTGACTCACAGCTGGACAGTGCACCCTTCCTCGGCTCAGACTTTGGCTATGGAAGTCAAGAAGCACTGGAAATCGGATGATAGTCCAAGCAAGGCTCAATGGGCCCATGTGCAAGGAACAATTTGTGGAAGACTCCAGAGATATCTGAACTCCTGGATAGCCTTCAATAAGACAATAGGTACCCCAGCCCCCATTCCCCTAGAGCCTCAATATAAGGGGCCTTCTCTGTACTATGGGATGCATGTGTTCTCTGTGAGGGTGATGTATTCTGATTTCCCCATCCTTTTAAACCACTGCATAAAGACAGGAGGGTTTGGCAATCTATGAACTGTCTGGGCCACAATGAGGAAGTACCCTGAGCCTCAGGTAACTGGGGTTAGGCAGGAGTTGAGCCCTCTTCTGCCCACCTGCCTGCCAACCTGCTTATTATGCAGAGCTCCCTTGTGGCCTCACAAACAAGGAGTCCCTGTAACACCCCCTCCTCATATCAACATGTACAAGTTAGAATGTGAGGCCACAAACCCGAGGCCCATCCTCCTGCCAGTCAGAGGACTGAGGCCTTCGGCTGAGAGCAGATTTGCAGCAGGTCTGGTGTCAATGAGGACTTTGATCAGAGACAGAACAGCAGAAAGAAACAGCCCTATTCCCTCTGCCTCCATTAAGGGGAATAAGGCTGGATCACATGGCTGACTGTTTCTGCTTTTTCTTCTCTAGTGTCCCCAGTAGTGACTATTACCTGTGGTGAGGCCTTGGAGGACACCATCAACGCCACATGTTGGGCTTTTGGTTTCTATCCCTGGATTATCTCTCTGACTTCGCTTCAGGATGGGGAACCACTGAGCCAGGACACACAGCAGTCTGGGAGTCTCTTGCCATATGGGAATGGGACCTACCAGACCTGCGTGTCCACCAGGATTCCTCAAGGACAGGAGCAGAGGTTTACCTGCCATGTGCGACATAGTGGGGAAGAGAGCACTGGCACTGTGCCCTGTGGTGAGCCTGGGTGTCCCAGCAGGGGTTCCCAACTGGGTAGGTCAGTGACCCGGGTGGTGAAAGGGAGGAAGTCTAGAGGTTCTGGAACCCAGATGGTAGTATGTGTGTTTTCAGGTTCGACCCTGCTGCTTCAAAGCCAATGGCGAGCCTCTCTAGGTGTGGTTGCTGCTGTTGATGCTGTTCTTCTTCTTCTTCTCCTTTATGTGCTTTGGAGCAACAGGAGGGAGACAATTTCAGCTGCAGAGGGTTCAGGTAAGAAAAGTGGGCAGTGGATGGAGATGGCAGGGTCATTCTGGGTTAAAGGGTCCCTCATGCCTCATGCTGCACAGAGTGCAGTGGAGGTGACCAGACTTCTGGAACAGGCGGACAAAGTATAAAAGGATCTGTGATTTGTGTTCTTTAGAAACTCTAGAGGAATCCCACAAAGGCTATTGCCTCTGGTTTCTTCCTGTCTGCCTGCCTCTTTCCTGTCTCTCCACTTGTCATGTGCAAACCAATAAGAAGAACCATGAGGCCTGTGGCACCGGTGCCCTGCCTCTGCTTCCCCCGGGAGGCCCATGTAGAGCAGGCCCAGGGGTCTTCAGCACATGTAGTCATCTTCTATCTTATCAGCATCTCCAGTCACTCTTCAGGGGTGTCTCCTGTGTGTGTCCACTGGGTCACTAGGGCATGTACTCCATCCCAGGCCCCACCACAATGGTCGTCCATCAGGAGTGGCTTCCCAGATGTTATGGAAAAATGAAAAAGCAGATGCCTCCAACCATCTGGGGAGAGAGACCAGCCATTGTGGGGCAGCTGTGGTCCCTGTTTTTGTCCTACCTGGTGTTAGAGTTTCCATGTGGAATATCTTCCAAAGGCTCATGAGTTGCAGGCTTGGCCCCAGGTGTTGGTCCTACTGGAAGTTGTAAAGCCTTAGCAGGTGGGCCTAGTTGGAAGAGGCATTCCTTGAAGGGAACATCTTGTCCCGGGCTCCTGGCTCTCTCCTTCTGTGCCACCTGGCCACCACATAGCCACCATGAAGTGAAGAGCGTCACTCTGTCATGTGCTGGCCATCATTATTTTCTGCCCTATCACTAGCCCACAGGAATGGGGCCAAGGGACCCTGGGATGAAAATGGTGAAACTTGAGCCAATGTAAATCTTTCCTCCCGAGTGTTTCACCTCAGGTGTTTGGTCAAAGTAGTGAAAGCTGACTGTGACACTTAGGGTTTCCTGTCCAGCCCCAGAGGGCACGGTCCCCAAGGATTGTGTGTGTTGTGTGTTGGGTCTGTGCTCTATGGCCTCTGCTCACCCTGCCCTCCCTTGGCTATTCTCCTTTATAAGATGGTCATTCCCCTGTGCATTTGGAGTAAAGGATGGTCAAAACCATTCCCCTGTCACCAATCAGTTGCTGGAGGGGTCAGGAAAAGAGAAAACAGGAAGTTGGTGATTCAGCAGGAAACAAAGTTGAAGCATGTACAGTTAGTTACTGGTTTGGAGGATCTTTCTGTTGTTTCTGCCCCTTCTGTGGGGTCAGCAGTGGGGGTGGTGAGTGGTTGGCCCCTTGGGTCTGGGAAACCTTCCCCCCAGCAGGAGCTGTCCAGGTAACTCTCCCTCCAGGGCAGATGGTTCAGTGTTGTCTGCTGCTCTCACCTGCAGCCTCTGCTGTAGGGTGAAAGCTAGTTCTGGTTCTCTGTGGGGAAAAATAGTTGCCTACTGCCACCCCTGTCCAGCACAGGTGGTGAACTAAGGTCACTCGTGTGAATTTGGGGTGATGCAAAATAAAACACAGACCCAAAATACCTTTACACAAGCTTCAGGACAACTTTCCCAGATCCCAGCCTCAAGTTCCTCAAAAGGAGAGCAAGAGAAAGTCACAGAGGCTGGCGAGAGAGAGGGCAAGCACGTTCAGAAGTGGGCTTTTATTCGGGGGGATGCTGTTTTTTAGAAAGTTCTATCCAAAAAAGGCAGAAGGGGTAGGATTACAAGGGAGCAGGTGAGTGTAACTCAATCCCAGCGGCACACCTACACCTGAAACCATGCCTTGCTATCTGAGCTGGGACAGTGTGAAAGTCACTAAGAAATGTAGTAATTGGTCAGAGCCCCCTGTGTCAGGGCTTGAAGGTGTGTTCATTCAGAGCGGCTTTCCACAGCCTGCAATTTCACTGGAACATTTGCAGAAAAGAGTGAAGGCTAGGTGTTCATATTTCCAAATTTCTTCTCTAAATATTCATACCCAATAAAAATATTTCCATTTTCAGTACATCTTTTTTTTTCTTTTAGAAATAGTGAGGATTTACCCAGGGGTGCTCTACCATGGAGCTACACCTCTAGGGTTCTGGCCTGTGTGAGTCCCTGCTAGGGCTGGGAGAAAGAAGGTGAGGCAGTCTCAGGAAGCAGGAGCTCTTGGGGATCAGCTGATTTCCTGGGGCAGATGGGCCAGGTAGGCCCTAGGAGGGTAAAGTACAGATTAGGGACCTGAGTAAGTGTTGGGGGTCAGGGATTCTGCATCTGCTCTGTGTGTGAGCTGCTTCAGGTCAAGTGAGCAGCAGACCAGGGGGCAGGCATGTTTTTCTGGCTGTGCCTGCTGGTGCCCCTGGGCTTCCTGGTGGGCTTTCCAGTTAGGAGATGCTGGCTCAGGGCTGAGAGGAAAGGATGCTGAGCTGCAGCTGGAGCAGACCCTGCTGGATGAGCACCTGCCCCTGCAGCAGAGGAGGCCTGGATATTAAGGGGGTAAAGGCCTGTGTGTGAACCCTGAGCCCAGGATTGGCAGAAGGAACTGCCTTCTCTGGCAGGTCCCTATTCTATCAGGAATAGTTGGGCAGAGGAGCAGGCACTGGGCTTCACTTTGGGATCTTGTCCCTTACTTCTTTGGTCTTTCATTCCCTTGAGGGATGCATGGTGGAAACTGAGGCAGGTGATGCTGCTGATGGATTTAGGAGAGGAGGCTGGTGAGGAAAACTAGTGGGGGCATTTTCTTTTTTCACTCAAACTCTGAATCTGATTTTGGAGAGTCTGAGAAGAGAGAGGTCCTGAGGAATAAATGTCATATTCTGCAGTCAATTGAACACTGACTTTTCCCTTCTCCCATAGCTCAGGAGCTCACAAATCCTGAATCATCAGCAGATGGTGAAGAGGAACCATAACAGCACCTTGCA